AAATCAGTTACTAAATGAACTGGAAAAATAAATTGGTCCATCAGAGTATAAAGTGGTTTTTAAATTAATTATTGATATGCATTCAAAATATGCCTCAGATTTCAACAGCAAATTTCTGTATTTACTGGTTTTTCACATAAGAAATGATGCAAATACTTCTCTGCAAATCCTTCCAACAGGGAACTTAGGACAATAACTAGAAAAAACATGTTTAATTGAAGGTCATATACCTTTCAATAATAATCAGACATTTAAAGAAATACTGATCAGTCTTTGTCTTTTTGAGCAAGTGTTTCATTTGAGTTGATGTTTATCCTGAAAAGTAGGTAAATAGCTAGTGAATGGCAGACTTTCTTTACAATCACAGAATCCTATGGTAATTCAGCTCTAAAGCACGGGTATTTTTAAGTTTGCGTAAGAGTTTCTGTGTATGCTCCCTTGCTTTGTTCTTCCAGTTTGCATTGTAAATGGGACTAGCGTGCTTTGAAACCTCTGAAATTTCTCCTGGTTTTATCTGCCACTTAAAGATTACAGTGTTTCACTTTCAGCCCTCTAAAATGAACTGTATTTCTGCTGTGGGAAAAATACAGCTGCCTGATGTGATAAGGCTTTAACTTCATTTGAATAAGATTTTTTGAATGGAGAGCTACATTTTGTATGAACAGATAGCTAACTGTGTTTTATACAGTTATTTAAAGGACTGGGTGTGTTTCGTTGTGGTATGGGGGCACCGAGTGAGTTGACACTCACTGTGATAACATTTCAGGGGTGAATCAGTTTCCTCTGAGGCACGCCAGAGCTGCCCTTCCAGGCTAAGGACAACCATACTGGGCAGTCTGAAACCACATCCACCAGCCTATCTCTTGCTTGCTCCCTGCTCATGTCATGTAGTGTGCTCCTCTGGTCCCATCCTTCACAGTTAATCTTCACTACTCAGATTGTAATGACATGTGCCATCTCTTTAGTAATCCTGTTTGCAGGCTGAAGAGTCCAGACCATCTTTGTTCTTCTTTTTAAAGCTTTGCCATAATTTTGGTTATCCGTAATGATTTCATGCCTTCCTTGGAGATGAGAGGGTGAGGCCAGAAATTCCAGAAGTACTGAGAGGCTGGGAGTGCCCTCTAGATTGATACAGTCATATAAATAATGTGGTTCTAAAAGTCTTTTTGCTGCATTTACTACTGAGAGTTTTCTGGTTTACTCTTGAGTTGATACCTTCAGCAGAATTCCTCATGTGTCAGCAGATTCCTGTCCTGAATGGCAATAGCCAGCTTCAAATCCAGCATCCACTACTTCATGTGCACTCGTGCCTAATTTGTCTGCCTTTTTATTACTCAGTAGTGTCACCAATGTTCCTTTGCAGCTTTTGATAGTCTGATTTTGTCTTAACCAGAATATAGGTGACAGCACAGGCTCAAGTGGGACTCTGTTGTGAATTCCCTTTACTACACATTAAATGACTGTTTACTTAAATTGTTTGCTGGCATATTTAAGGAATAATTGGTTGGGTCATGCAAGGGCCTGTTTAGGACAGCTTAGTTTCTGTAGAGCCTTTTTTGAGAGATCTTTGGGAAATGTGGGTAGTCCAGGTAGTCTTATATCAGTGATTTCTCAGTGTGCTCATTGAGTCTTTTAGAGAAGGACAGTATACTGAGATGTGGATTTTCCTTACAACAGCTGCATGGAATTATCTGTGTGCCCACTAACTCTTTTATTTCGAGTAATTTATATACAATTCTTTTCTGGTACAAACATTTAACCGAACTGATCCATTGTTTTCCTAATTTTCGCCTTGAACCCTTGTCAGAAATTCATGTTGCTTTTCCTGTCTCTAAGAGCTATAAGATTGAGACTATTTAAAATGAGAATTCATGAATCACAGCTACTAAGTCCTTCATTCTTGAGTTCTGCTCTAGTACATTATTTTTTCCGTTTTTAGCTTGTTCTTTACCTTGTTGTAAACACACTTGAGGAGAATTCTGGTGTGGGAAGACTCCAAGGTTTTTCCTTAGAGTGTAGATCTAAAAAGAGAAGGGTAGGGTTCTTTTTCTGTAGGGCTTTATCACTTATGAATCCTTCTGTATGTGCTGGTTGTCCTGGAGAAACACTTTAATGGATCTGCTATTTCTTCTCTGTTCTGAAAAGTGCTGTTTGTTTCTCAAACTTGATTGGATTGTCTTTTACATGTACATTACCAGCCAGAAAGAACTTTTACTCATCCCCTTTGAATACTACTATTGATTTTCTCAACTATCATTTTACTTCAGATAGTTTCCCTGACTTTACTATTTAGCCATGTTGCCTTTTTTCCCTGGTTTGTTTGAAGGCTTCTTTTATGTGAAGGCAAGCAGTTGTCTTCAACCAATGAGCATGAAAGTCTTACAAAACTAAGGTCAGGAAATAATGAGAGCAAACTGTTTTAGCTAAACTTCTGTACAAAAGGGCATACAGGAAAAATGAGCAGAATATAAGCATAGATTTTAAAAATAATATATGTATCTTTAACTCCTTATTTTTCAAATGCCCAGTGTGTTAAAAAAATGATCTACACTGGATGAAAAACTGAAGTTTTCATTACTAGAGAGGCAACCAAGTCTTGCTTCTCTAGTCAGCCTAGCAGTGGAAAAAATGGGTTTGATGGATGTGGAGCTGGCTGGATGTCAGCATCTGAAGAGTAGCAGTTAATGTCTCAGTTTCCAAAGTGTGGTTCCAGCACATCTGTGTGAATCAGTGGTTCTACATTCTGATAGCTGTGTATGTCATAGGTGAAGGAACTACAGTGCCATTATCTTCTGGGATTGTTTTCAGATTGGCAAGGTGGCCTCTGGAATCCAGACTCACTACATGTTTGCTCACATATTTGTGAATTGCTTTTACTAGCTAGTATTTTGGACTTTGAGAATGCTGATGGAATACCCAAACTGATTCTGCTAAGAGACAGAATGTGAGCAAAATGTTATTGTAGTTGCACGTCATCCGGCCAAACAGTAGCCAGGATGAGTGACCCACAGTCTGGTAATCACCTGTGAGTAACTGGAAGCTGAACAGCGAGTTGTGAGTATAAAACAGAGAAGAAGCTGATTGGAGACTCTTGATTTTCTGCCTCATTTTTCCCTTTCCCCAGTGGGGGTGAAGAGCATTTACATGTCTGCATTCTAGAAATATATTGGGGTTTTTTGTATAAGCAGCACATAAGTAAATCAGAAAATTTTGCAGCAGCAATTAGCATTAGTGAGAAGTAGTAACAATTGTTTTAAAAGTGGATGTCTAGCTGTGAACTGTTTTAGTGGAAATCCTTTCAATCTGAGAAGACAGACACATATTTGGACAAACCAATATTTTTTTTCAGTTTGTCTTTTGACAGCTATGGGAGGTTTTTAGTTAAAACTGGTTTTGAGAGGAAAGGTAGAGAAAAGAGTATCTCATGTTTGCAGGGAGAAGAAATCCTTGTCTCTTGGAAATTCAAATGTGATAGAAGAATATCTACTTGATATCTTCAGAGTGATAAATTATTATAAGCAACTGGGGGAGTGTGACCTATATTTAAGATGGTCTAATCCTTTCCTCTGTGTAATCCTGTTTACTGTTTCATTTTACTTTATTCAGTGTAAAAGATTCTGAACTACATTTTCTGATCTAGCGATTTGCCACAAATTGAGCCAATACTAGGAAGTTATTGTTACTTTCTGTGTAGATATTAATCTGATTCAATATGTTGCATTTTCAGGCTGTGTAGTAGGAGAGGGGTCTTTTGGCTTTGTTTCTGTTTCAGTGACCGTTTTATTGAAGAACTCCAATTCTTCCTGTCTTTAAGAAGAAAATGAAAAATTGTTTATGGATGGTCATTCCTGTTAACAGGACTCTATATTTGAACTTCTAAACGTTCTGATGAACTTCTGAACATGCTTCTAAACATGTGTTGTAAACAAAAATACAATATAAATCAAGAATATCCTTAAGTCTGATTTGGCACTTTGTGTCTGGTCTTTTTATGCATGAAAGTAGCAAATACTAGCCAGTCCCTTCTCTGCTAACACCTAGGGCTGAAGGAGAAAAGAGGGGCATTTTGTTCAAAATCACATATTGTGAGTAATCAGAGGTTTTCAAAGCAAGTAAATAGCCTTGGGTGAGGGAGTCCGGAATCAGTGTGCAGGAAGGACTTGTTTCCAATTACCACCTATTAGTCATTGCTATGAATTTAGTTCATGTAAGGTTTCACTATATAGCAGATTTCTGATGAATACCTGCCACTCTGGATTGCTTCTGCTAGGAGATGTATGTACTATTAAAAACAGAGTTAGTAGTCCAGGGAGAACAGTGTTTCAGAACTCCACCACCTGTGCGCTGTGGTCGTTTTGGTGGTTAGATATTAATGTAAGTCATGAAGCTGTGTTTAAAATTGAGAACCCAGCTTGATTTTTGCTTAAGCATTTGTAATACTTCTAATACATTACTTTTCTGAGTTAGTGCAGTGAATAAAGTCTATACTTTTTTCAATCTGTTTGAAGTGGCAAAATTGCCACATTCTCATTCTTACTGGGCTTGATTTTTTTTTTCCCCCCCAGTGGAAAATAAAACAATTTGATTCAGCAGGCATATGATGATGAATATACTAAGTTAAACTTCTGTTATGCTTCCATAAAGTTACTCAAGTATAATAAAGTCTTTTCCCTAGAAAGCTACCCTATTTGTGTGTTGTAACTTCACCCTGCAATGTCTGCAGTATTCAGTGCTAGTAAAGCTAGGTATATATAGGATCCATTGCAAAGAAAAACCTGCTCTCTTTTAGGCTTTTTGTATCTTAGATTATATTGTATTGAGCTTTTTTTATTTTTTCTTAAATGGAAATGTCTTTTTTTTCATAGTACATAAAAATCCCATTAAAATTAAAAGTGGTATTTTGTTGGGGAAAAATAATGCATTTTTATACTGCTTGCAACTTCAGAATATATTTATGGTAACTCTCTTTTTGTTTTGTTTTGTTTTGTTTTTGTTGGCAGTTGTACTCGCTAAATGATTATAAGCCACCCATTTCCAAAGCTAAAATGACACAGATCACCAAGGCAGCAATCAAGGCTATAAAGGTAAGAAATCTTTTGACCTCTTTTATATTTCTCATATATGTCCAAATAATTTGTTTTGAACAGTGTAAAGAATTTCCCTCGGAACTTTCCCACCATCCTTGTTGTATGTACAATTTCCAAGTTACAGTCAAATGTGATAGTGAGGGGATCTTCAGGAGTGCAACAGAAGGTTTAATTTGTGGTGTGACTTTCATTTGCTGGTTGTCATATGTGAGAAAGAATTATACCAGCTTGACTCTTCTATCTGATCTGAAAGACAGGGCTTTTTCCTCAGTTTAAAAAGGAAACACATGCCTGTGAACAGATGAATAAATAGAAAACTACAATTCACCCTTACCTCTCCACTCCTCGACCCCCATAATATATGCTTGCCTTTGGATCAATACAACTGTTCATTTTTTCTAAATTCCTAGCATAAACTTTTCATGGATATTGTTCATAGATTTCAGTTTTCTTGTTGCTTGGGTACAAATTGATTTCAAATTTTAGCATTAGTACACTCATTAAAGATTATTCCTGCCACAAAAAGTAATTTTCAAACAGCAATGGGGCAGCAGAAAATGTCACTGAAAAATGATGAAGGAAAGAAGTGTGCCACTAGTGTTAAGCATTGAAACAAATGGAAACTCAGTAAAAGCTGGAGAAGTGAAAAAGAGGTTAATATAAAAGAAAACAGACTGAGCTTTTGCTCTTTCTATCTGCGTTCCTTTGCTGAGAATGGAGATACATTTTCAGATAATTAAATATATAGTGGTGTTTTGTGTAATTGGGAGAGAGCAATTTGATGTCAGAAGAGTGAAATTCATGGGCTTTTTTAAATATGTCTTTGTGTGTTGCAGTATAATGAAAATGCTAAAAACTTACACTGAACATAAACAAGTAATAAATTATAGTAGATGGTTTTATTAATTAAGCATTTAAATTATACAAAAACGTTTTACCATGTACTCAACTTGGAAATCTTGCTTCTGCTCTTACCATTTCAGTAACAATGTTTATTTATATAGAGTGTTTATTGAGAGCCATTGTGATTGTATGTGAGATTTTAAAAAAAACCTGCACAAATCACAAGCCAACTTTTAAGTACTCAGTATATGTTATAAGGTCCTCCTACAATCCTATTTTTAGGTTATTAAAGCGAACATTTGGAAAATAAATAGAATGCGGAGAAATTATATGTTTAGTAACATTAGGCTGACATCTTCAGTCATGTACAGTGAAATAACCATATGTTTTTGAAGGAACAATTATATTATTCTCCTAGTTCTCACTAAATAACGGCATATTGTTAAAAAAAAATCCAGTGTAAAAAGCCTTCAGAAGGAAAGAAAAAGTGATATTAACTCTTTTATATATTGTTCTAAGGAAGACTGAATACTCAGCTGTAGGTGTTGGATTGCTGTTTAATAATCCAGAGTTTCCTCTTCTGATTTGCTATAAATATATCAATATACTTGAACAAGTAATTGTATCTCCAGATAACAAGTAATGCATCTTCAGATTTTCTCCTCTATTGAAGTACTGTTTTATTTTTCAGTTCTACAAGCACGTCGTACAGAGTGTCGAGAAATTCATTCAAAAGGTAAGTCAGTCACGGCTGTTTTGTGTTAACAAAGAAAATTTCCTCATTTTGGATTAGAAAGTATTGGATACAACTGGGTTTTAGATGTACATATAGATTAATATTTCTAGCACATACTAGTTTATTTCTTATTTCAGTCACATTCAGGTTCTGCTAGTGATCAGCAGCTGATTCTAACCCATGATGCAGAAAGACAAATACTTTGTTCTCACTTTGATCTGAGTCACTGTAAATACTGTTTTAAGACTACTATATGTATTCATTTAATGTTAAAAGAGACTGTCAGTGTAGCCCATGTGAACAGCTAACAGCAAAACAATTGACAGTGGTTTGACTGGTGACAGTTGCTTTTGATTTGCTGCCAGGTCTTTCCATTGATTTTAAAGCTGAAGGGAAGATGACCATTTAGCCTCATCCTTTTTTTGTAGCAGAAGATGTAGCCTTTCAGTTGGTGGTTCCTGCTAGTAAAGTAAAGTAAAAAATATTTATATGGCTAGACTAGAATTACTTTTTGAGAATATGGTAGTATTAATACAAATATTCTGCATAACAGAGAATTTTATAGCAGTTTCTTTTCTTGCAACAATTAATTATTTTTGGGTAAAACTGCATTTTGCTTCCTGTTGGAAGTGCATGGCTTCCAATTTGTGAGTCTTCCCTGAATTTGTTCTTTTTTTGTAAATAGGTGTAAATTATGATCAGTTTGCCTTTTTGTTTTGACATACAAGCTAGAGAAGTTAGGCTGTTAGAGCTACAATGTTGGATGCAATTTTCCTTCTGTCACCCTTTCTCTAAAGCAGTCTAGATTACTGTGTCAGTAACCTGTCTTCCTCCCTAGCTTTTATTCCTTCGTGCCCAGTTAATTCTGCAGTGCCTTTGGGCAGTGGCTGGACAGTGTAAACAGCTTTCTGCTTCAGCCTGGTGTTTTTAAGTGTCTCAGAACCATTCATGAGTGAATTACTTAGGTACTAGTGGAAAAGGGGTCATATGTATGTTTCAAGGCAATAGTAAAGACTAGTAGTATACCAACAGTGCTGCTTTTTTGTCAAGCACTTGTCTTTTGGGGCATGGCCTCTGACTTCTTCCACCTCTGAGAAAAGGGATCAATATCCTCTGATCCCTGTTTAATGCTACAGCTGAACACATAAGGGGGAGAGCAGGTATACATCTTATCCATCTCTGATCCGTAGCACTTTGCAGTTTCACATCCTCAAATTAGTTCAGAATTATCGAAGTTCCAAATACTGCTTTTTAGTTGCAGTGGCTCTGATTGGCAATTCAGTATTCAGAGGCATGAGGGAAGTTTTATCCTCTGAGTGAAAGAATGGCTCTTTGTCAGGAATGGGACTAGTTTTTTGTGACCATTCCATGAGCTACTAAGAGTATGAGTAATCTTTACATATTTGCCTTCAGTGTCCAGTATACTCAGTGAGGGAGTTCTGCACTATTCTTTGGTGTTTAGAGAAGGCAGATGTATGTTCTTATTGATTACCTTCTTAATGATCACTCTGGATTAGATGATTCTCTTTGGTGGTCTTGATGAGGATTTTTTCAGTATTTCATGAACAATTTAGTGAAACATGGAACTTAGTAGTAACATAAAATAATAACTTCTTACTTTAGTAGAATAAGAGATGAACAGATGAAAGCCAATTTAATATGAAAGGACTTAAACTGTATGTTTGGAAGATAATAGGATTATTTTTTTTTGAAAGCTGTATTTTTTCAAGTTAAAGCTCAAGAAGACTGAGTCTTCCATTCATATCTGCTATAGACCTATCCAGAGTGATGTCAGTGCCATCTCAATTATTTTAGTGTTGATTCTTTACAGCTATACTATTTTCTTTCTTCAGAATTAATCTCAGGAGGTAATTGAAGCTTCAGTTGAAATAATACCCATGACATTCTTCATTTTGTGACACTTAACTCATTGGTCTATTGAGTTATGTTTAAAAAGGATGTGTGGTTTGTGTGTTCAATTTTTTTAATAGCTAGATTTTTAAAAACTTAAATGTTTTAGTGGTAGGAAATTGATTTTACACCATTTACATATCTGCATATAGATGTGATAATTTGAACATTAAAGATGAGATGTTTCTGAGAGTTTCATTTTCCAGGAAAATTTATTAAGTAGAGAACATTTTAGTAATAATTGGACCCATTTAAAAATTAGAGAGCATTGTTTATATTTACTCTGCCATTAATGAGTTCTGTTATTTTTCACATATGTTTATTTTACATTATTCTTTTTAGTGCAAACCAGAATACAAGGTGCCTGGTCTGTATGTCATTGACTCCATTGTGAGACAGTCCCGGCACCAGTTTGGACAAGAAAAGGATGTATTTGCTCCAAGATTCAGCAATAACATCATCAGCACTTTCCAGAACTTGTACCGTTGTCCTGGCGATGACAAGGTAAACCACTTACAGATTTTTCTAATTAGAACAGTCTTTAGTGTGTTACCTATAGAGATTTTGATCCCACTTTGTGCTTACTGGAGGGGACCCAATCAGAGATGCGCATATGTAAATGTATTTCTTAATTTTGCTTGTCTGAGTGTAGGAATCAAGGGAGACACATCCATTGACATTAATTAGACTTTTGGAAAGGTGATCTTTCCTTTGATTCTATGATTGACCAACAGCTAAATAAGGTGTAACTTGAATAGTTTGACCCAATAGTTCAGCTGTTCCCAATCACAGTAGTCAAGATAGCTACCAAATTCTGTTTCTAAAAGATTGGCTGGGAATAGCTCAGTGCAGGCAGTTTAACTTCATATTTGTTACTCATCTGAAACGAGCTGTAGTTTCTTCTTACTGAATAACTAGAAAAAGATGAGGACTGCTGAGGGTATTGTCTTCACAGAAATTTATGTAATTGAGTCGTTAAGTCTAGTTGTGAGGCAGAATGCTACAGGAAGAGAAAGGTTATTTTTTGAATAGTTGCATTAATTCATGCTGTATTTTTCAACCAAAGATCTGAAAACCTAAGGCATCCATGCAGCGGTGATTAAGGCAAGTTCAGCTGTTGTGGTGTCTTAGCATTCCTGCCTTTCTAGAGCAGTTAGGACCTCTGCAGGAAAATGTGTTGGGATCTGCAAATTTTACTTGATTGAAAAAGCTTTGCTAAGGATGTCTGCCTTCTTTTCTGCAGCTGAGTTCTGAGGTGTTACTGAAAAGGTTGTTTAAGTTAAATGGCATTTTCCCAGTCTGGTTTTAGGTTATCTGTGTGATTAATTTTTGCTGCTTCCGTTTCACAGTGTTTTAGGTATATATAGGCATTACAGTTAACATATTTTTATTCATTTAGTTGTCTTTCTTGAACAGTATTAGTGTGTTTTGTATAATCATTTAGCTTGCTACTTTGGGAGATGTGCTAGTACAGAAATAGCCTGACTTATTGAAGAAGGAGAGATTAGAACAAGGGTGGGCGCAAGTACTCACTCTGTGTCTGGTTTTAAAAAATATATAGTAAATTTATTGTGGGGTAAGAAGTAGCACCACGCATCTTGTGATATTTCAATGCATGACAATTAATGTATTGTATTGGAGGTATTTGATGTGAAGAGGGATAGTAAAACATGGTCTTTTTAAGGTCCACTGAAGTCCTGTCAGGTTCATTTCTGGGATATTTTTCACCTCACTTAGTGGAAAATGTGTTTTGCAGTCTGAAGTCTTGCTGCTGTGCTACATCTTTCTCCTGTGAAAGTAGTTACCCTATATCTCACCCAGCAAAATGTGCTGTCAGAGACCAAGATATATACCTGGTTTATATTGATGTTTATACCTGGTATATATATACCTGATGATTTTGATGTTTAATCTGATTAAAAGGCGTGATGGAGAAACACAACAGCTCTCTTCATATGAGCAAATGTGGAATTTGTTTTTAAATCAAGCAGAAGTGCAGTAATATTTCATTTAAATAATAACAAAACCACCTTACTGATTCCTTTGTCTGGCCCAGAGAAAGTGCAAGGGGGAGATGGATACGGAAGCATAGAAAGATTTTTATATTTCTCTTCTGGATAAAAGATGTAAGTTAGAGCCTCTGATGGACTTGTCAAGTACAGCTTACAAAACAAACTTTCAAAGAAGGAAGGCTCACATACGGTAATGCTGAGTGGAAGCCCTCAGAGATTTGTTTAGGGGAAATCTTAAGTTACAGCTTCCATGTAGTGAAAATTCAGCACTTCTCTCTGTTGAATTTAAGTATCCTCTTAGAGTTCTGGGCAAACAGACTTTTTTCTTTGGTTCAAACACTGTGGTTAAATAATCTGTGTTCATGTTTTATGGAACTCAGGTTAACCATCTTTCTGATGCCAGATCCTATGAAGAATTTCCTGCTCTTTATAATACAACTGACTTTTTTTCCCCAAAAAATAAAGCAAAATTTTACCTTTGATAGAAGTGAAACTTTAAAAAGAAAATATTTGAAAGCAGATCAAAACAGTGATCTGTTTATGATGTGATGGAATGCATCTATTGTCATAGATATATAATAGAAAGAAATAGAAATGCAAGCTGAACAATGAGTTATAACTAGTGGAATTGTATGATGTCCTAATTTTGATTTATTTTTTTCCTTCCCCATGATCCACATTTTTTAATATTACTATATATTTTCAGCAGGCAAAAATTGTGTTTCAGTTTAAACTTTTAAATTCCTCACTTCATCAAGGGAGCTTGCAAAATACTAGACTGCTTTTCTAATAAAAATATTAGCAATCTTACTAGTATATGCCTATTTTTCAGTGGATATAAATTATTTGCGTTTACACATGGATCAGAATTGCATTCATATATGTTAACTAGAAAAATTTAGGAGACTAATAATTAATTATTTTAATTATTAGTAATGCTTTAAAATGCTTTCTTAAAATCATTTTCCTTCTATATCAGCTAACAAGGGTAAAGGTACAAAAGAGCCAGATATCCTTTTTTTTTTTGATTTAAGAGATTTCATTTCGGGTTGAGAGAATATTGTCATTATGTGTATGATGGGTCTTCACAGTTGCCTAAGGTCAGCCTCAGGTTCATAGTGTTAACATCTTTGATGTGACCCAGTGTAAATGTTCTTACTGTTTGCAAACCTAAAGGTGCTTCCATCTTAGACAGATTGACATTGCTAGTTAAGAATTCCGGAATCTATAGCAAGACAAAAGATAAACATGATTTAGGTCTCATGTTATCTTTTCTTCATTTTAGAGTAAAATCGTTAGAGTGCTGAATTTATGGCAGAAGAATAATGTGTTCAAGAGTGAAATTATTCAGCCTCTCTTGGATATGGCAGCAGGAATTCCTCCTCCTGTTGTGACCCCTGTCTTGCCCAGCACTACAGCTGCTATGAGCAACAATACACCAGGTAAACAAAAACAGATTGAAGTAATTCTTTGAATCAAAACACTTCTGTCAGCTTTGGTATGTTGGCTGTTAGTGTGCTGAAATATCTCACTGGTTTCCTTTAGATAAATCAGTGCTAGAAAGAAGTCTGTTACAGCCACCATCAAGATCAGGGAAACGGGCAAACATTATTATAAATGCAGACTTGATCATTTTGTGCTCCAAGAACCTTCCTTACTTATGTAGGGAGATGGCAGGGAAATGGATTTTCAGCTTTTTCACTTTGTGGAGATTTTTTCATTCAAGGTTCAGATGGATGGGAAACTGTCCATATAGGGATTGTGTTTTGGCATCTGCTCTTGACCTGCTTTGTAACCCACTTTTTGCTGATCCCATGCTGAAAAGCAGTGAGGTGGACAAATGCACCTTAGTTTTCCTTGTGAAAATAAATATGTGAAAGTTTCAGCTCTAGGATTGCCTTGGTACATCTTCTAGCTCAGTATTTATTATTTTGATTAGTTTGACTATATTAAATTGTTGAAATCATAGTTCTACTGTAGTGTTTTCTTAAATTCTGATCAAAAATGACATTTAAAACAGTAATCTCGTCATATTTAGCTTTCATCAGCATGTCTCTACTTTTGAGCTAGAAGTGCAAAAGTATTTGCAGGGATGGAGGATTCTTCTGCATTATGGCATGAAACTAATTATCGGATTGCTGATTTCATCTCAGCGTTTCTCTTGAGAAAAAGTTATAAAATGAGAAATCCTCATGAATCCATCCAGCTGATGCAGGTTGAAATTTTTAGTAGAATCCTTAAGGCTCTCCCTGAGGATAAAGTGTGAATCCAGTAAAATTTGGACTATCAGACAAGTAGATTGCTAGCAATTATCTTTCGGTATATCAAATTTCCACTAAACATTCTGGAATAGTGTGTGAAACCTGTTTACTTGGCCTTCATCGTTGTTTTTGTTAGTAGTCCCAGTAGTTCAGTAGTGGAAAGAGCTGTGAACTACACCAACACAGATGAATTCTGCTACTTGAGAAATGTTGGTGTGAGTTGTGTTATTTTCGTGTGCTCTATATATATGTGAGAAAAATAATTTCAATTGATGTTTTCCTTCTCTAACACTATTTTTAAGTCTGTATGTTAAAATATTTTGACATATTGGATTTTCTCTTTTTTTTAGGAACACCTGTGACTCCAGTTACTCCAGCCAACGTGGCACAGAGTTTACCTGATCCTTGGGTATCTCAGATTGCTAACACAGATACCCTTGCTGCAGTTGCACAGATTTTACAGAGTCCTCAAGGCCAACAGGTAACTATTTTGTAGACAGTTACACTGTAGACTCTGATACTTCCTGTCTTAAGGGAACATTTAAGAAATAGTTTCAGGAGTATCTCTTAGTTTTGTGTCCAGTATCCATGTCAACTATGCTGTGAGGTTGTTCATCACAAAAAAGTTCCAGGTCAACTAAAACTTTTTATTACCTTTGATAACCAACCCTGTTCCTTAAAAGTATTGCAGAAAGTGATTTCAACTGAGGGGGTCTGTAATACATACCTGTCTATATAGTATTGCAGATGACTAAATAAAGAGCAACATTAGGGTTTCATGGATATAGGTATAAAATGGAATGTAAGTTAAAGCATATTTCTCTACTGAATGCTCCAAGAAGAGCTAAACATTGTACAAAATTATATAATGGGAACGAACTCGTTCAGGAAGTGTATGCTTTGTTGATTCATTTTTTATCTTTTCATCAGGTAAACAGTTTTTGTTTTGCAGCATTCAAAAATAAGGTCTTGGAAGTTACTGTGTTTCTCAGTTTTTAAATGCTCAACTCCAAAAAAGTGTCTTGATGTCCAGCATCACAAGGACTGCTTGTCCTCTTAACCCACAGTCATATAAGTTTAGTACATACAACTGACTTTCTGTAAAAATATAGACCACAGTTTTTCTGTCTATGCTAGAGCTGTGGCACCCACATAACTTGATCATTATGATTTTTATGTGGACTGAGGAATGGATTGTTTTACCTACTGGGTTACCAAACAGAAATCCCATGCATATGAAGGAGAAGCAGTCACTAGTGAACTGTTAAAAAGCACTGGTGCTGACAATAACAACTTAGTGAGCATGTTTTACAGTATTCAGCTAAGCAGAGTTGTCTGTAATTATTCATAAGTCAGTTGTTGCTAAGTCAGGTGGAGGGAGTATTTTCACCTGATTGCATAGAAAGAAATTGATGAGTCATTGAAAAGCAGAGCAAAATGAGTTTGTGGGATAATCTGTGAAATGTGGAGGAAAAACAGTGGAAAAACTCTTGAACAAGGAAGGGATGTGAAATGAGAATGGGAAATACATGGAAAGTCAGTAAGGTAATTTTAAAGATTATTACTTAGAGAATATTCTTAAAAAAAAACGCAAGAGGTGAAAAAACTATGAAGCAAGATAAAAAAATAAAGATGAGAAGGGAATTAAGGTTTTAAAGACAGCAGATCACAAAGAAATAACATTTGGGTATTTATAATAAAGTAGTCTTAAGCAGAAACGTGGAGACAGACTGGGTACACGGTAAATATGTACATGAAGATGTCTAGGATTGGTAGAGGAACTATGACATTTGCTCCCATCCTGTCCATCTCTTTTCTTCCTGTTCTCTAAGACACTCTGTCTGCCACAGCCTCCCCCCTGCTCCCCAGCTCCAAAGACTTTCATTTAATCTTAGGATTGTGTTTTATGGGTGAGAATGCATGCAGGTAATTTGAGAGTCTAGACATAGGAGAGGGCAGACTAAGAAAGATGTGACCAACAACAATGTGAAAACAGCAAGAAGGGTGACCACCTAGGATTTTTCCTCTCTAGGGCTTCCATTTCTGCTTCTTCAGTTTGATTCCTTCCTACTTGGAGCAATGCACAAGATGAACTGGCTGTATTTGCTCATCTTATGTGGATCAACCAAGATGGGAGGGGGAACTCCTCAGCTTTGCCTGTTGAAGTAATCAGTGAAAGCTCTTGCTGAGTTAGAACAATAATTGAAGCATTTTCAGAGGCTCTGCTCTATAAGGGATCTGTATAACTGTTTTTGAAAGAATAGGAGAAATTTCTTCCCATTATCAGAAGGTAACTCTAAAAGAACCTTGGAAAAGGGTCACACATTTTTGATGCATTATGGAAAAGAAGTTCAGCCTAATCAGTTTACACAGTTTCTAGTGAGGCCTAGTGAGGAGGGATTGAACCCTGTAAGAGTTCAATGGGGAACCCTATAAGTAGTTGGAATATGAATGTAAGGGTAATCAGGGACTAATGTCAGCATAGTTTGAACTAGCTGGATTCGTTCATCCTTTTTTCCACAAAAATCTAAAGATAAGGCTTCAGGGATTTACTTCACAGAGCATCAAAGGACTGCTTCCTGTAAATCCACAGTGCTTTAGGAGAACTTCTTTCCATAGGGTTAGTATTTTTTTCTTAAGGTAAATGTGTGAAATTTTATGGAAGCATCCCTATTCAGCAGATAAATTGATCAGCACATGAAAAAAACCTTTATTTCTTCATTGGGATAGCTTCTCCAAAAGACTAGTTACAGATAGGAATTTGTAGAAAGGAAATCAAGATACACCAGGTAATTGGATTGTACATTTGCTTTTTATGTTCTGTTAACATAACAAGGGAATTGCATCCTATCAGCCCAAATATGAGTTTCACCATGGGATTTCACTTGTGACAAATCCAGAGATACCAGTGCAAGTTCTTCCTATAGACAGGTTACATCAGCTTAAGTGGAGCTTGCCTCAGTGCAGTTATTTTTTCTATACAAATGTTGTTACAGCATACAAAGTTTCCTAATATAGGTGGGCCCTTAGGAAGCTGGAGTAGGCTAACAGATATTTTTCAGGTCAGAAGGAATCAAACTGGAGAAACAGAAGAGGGGGAACCCTAGAAAGCAGGAAATCCTGAGTGGTGACTGGTCATCATGCAACCTGTCAGAGCAAGTTAGGAGGAAGAAGCATCTGCATGTCTTATCAACCCCAGAAAACAAATTAGCCAGTAAGTGGGAAAAAATTTGCTGTAAAAGAAAACAAATTAAGACAAAGTAATGGCCATAGGTTAGATGCTACTGCATTCCTGAGGTTTGTTTTACTAATTGGAAGGGGAAAAGTCTATTGTTTCTTTTTCTGTTTAAAAAAAAAATCTTGTTCAGTGTGTTTGTTATCTTTTTCTCTTTTAGCTTCAGCAGTTGATACAGACACTGCAGATACAGCAGCAGAAACCTCAACCATCGCTACTTCAAGCCCTGGATGCTGGTCTTGTTGTCCAGTTACAGGCCCTCACAGCACAACTTACAGCTGCAGCTGCTGCTGCTAACACACTTAATCCACTGGATCAGAGTGTCTCTTTTAATAAGGTAGAAGTAGAATAGTAGAAATTCGAAGAAGTATTTATTAATAAAATATATGTAAGTGAAAAGTTCTTTTGGATTTTATTGTTTGTCTTTAGAGATTTCAAAAATACATTAATATACTATAAAGTTATAAAACAGTATCTTAAAAAAAAATTTCTAGACAGAGTAATGTAAATTAAAATATTAGTTTTATATGAGTTTAAGGCTAAATGCACTTCATGGAATATCTGGAATTGGAAGGGGGCCATTAAAGTAATTGAATATGGTAATGGATTTGATTTAGCAAAGTTAAGCCGTTGTTACATACTTTTCCCTCACCCTTTGTAATACAGCAGTGAGAATTGTTTCTTACAAGGTAATAAAAGGGTAATATGTAGAAATTAATATACACTGAAGAGTATAATAGAAGAGTAAAGTGATTGGATGTGTAATTTTCTTACATTATAAATTAAATGCAAGGAAACTTCTGTCTTAGCCACAAAATTATGTAAGTGAATAAATAAGTCTATAACTACAGTTAAGACTCGTCCTGCAACACTTTTTAAAAGTTGTCAGAACATAAAACAAACCCAAGCAAAGCAAGCCTGTAGGTAGAGAAATTTAGTGTTGTAAAAAAACCCAAAACAAGAACAAAACCCCAAAACAAACAAGAAAACCCCCAAACCAGAATGCAAGAATTTAAGAAAACTAATATAATTGAATGCCAGGTAGCAATTAACCATACAGGCAATACCAGTAAAATAAAAAAGGAAGAAATTCTACTCAAAGATAAATAAATAAATAAACCTTGTTCTGTTATCTTTGGAAGAAACAGTTTGCGACATAATCCTATGGATAATCTTGGTAGGATTGTCCTGGAGTGAATAAATAGTAAGAATAAGGAAGTTGGAAAAGCAAAAAAAACCCCTTTTTTTCTTAACTCAGATATTCTCTTTTTCAGGAAATTAGCTGCTCAGACTGACAAATACTCAGTTTAAAGATTTAGGATAATTTATCTTAAATATAAGAATTGTCATTGCTAATAAAAGTAATGCAGCTGTAAAAATAAGTCAGGAAGAAAATGGCCTGTACTCATCCTAAGTCACAACTGTAACCATCGAGTAGGGTATGATCCCAGGGAATTAATGCATCAGTTAATAGGTGCTGCTATGTAAAAAATAATGAAGAATATGCCATTATTCCTCATACTTCAATTCCAGCATTTCCATGGATAGGTATACTTGTACATGTGGCTGTCTTGAATATTGGGCAGCTTAACTGAAGCAAATTGAAGGAATTTACATTCTGATAATATGTTTATATACAGCCATAAAAAAAGGCAGCTTTTATGAGGAATAAACAGTAAGTATTGCAGTCCAGAGGAGATTGTGAAACGTAGTTTTCATTCCATGATATAATGTTGGTGAACTGGATAACAAGTATAAATAGCACAGGAGGATACTACCAATGACTGCACAAGTATCCATATTTTTAAAAAAATTCCTGTTTTTAATACGTTTGGCAGTCCTTCCAATCCTTTGTTTTCAAGCTCTTCAGTCTACAGTATCTTGTGGTAATAATTTGTGCACATTAATGTGCGCTATGTGAAAAATTCTTTTGGCAATGTCAAATGTGCGTGTTTTCTGATCTTGCTGCATAACCGTATCCTTGTGTTTTGGGAAAGAAAGGTTTTTGATCAACATTTCCTGTGCACTTGTGCTACTCCTTTTACTTTAATTTCCAAAGAGAATATCCTGATTCTTAAGAAGAATTTTGTTTCCTTTTGAACAAAAAACTTTTTTAATGTCTTTAATAATTTTTATTGGTTTTTCTGAACATATTTTCCTCTTAGATAATTAAAGTAACATTCATTGAAAGTTTTGTGCTTTTGATATATGTGTGTGTGGTACATTAAACTTTGAGCCAATATTTAATTTGGTTTCATTTCCATTACTTTATTTTAGAGAGTATTTGCTTACAAACCATGTGAAAATTAAGGTTTTTTAGTTTAGATTTTTCCTTTCAATATGTTACTTAAACCAAATGCAAACAAAAGTCATGGTGTACGTTTAGATGTCTTGGCTGGAAGTTCTTTGGTTTTCTCTGGCCTCAGTTAATCTAAATGCTTCTTTTGCATATCATGAGCTGTTGACTACTTTGCATTTATTTCTTTTCTCAAATGTATAAGTAGTACATAATCGATTTTTTTTCCTTTTTACTCTCGTGATGGAAGATACATGATGATTAATAATATTTTAAGTTCAAGACTGCTTGTTTTTCTAAAATGCGTCTTTTTTTAGAGCAGCAGCATTTTATAGGTGGTTCATTGGAAAATATTCCAACTATACATACAAGGCAGTCACCTTAGTTTAAATGGATTAGATATATATGAAAGTTGTTCTGGATTTTAGCATCTCATCTCACATAGGCTTGATGGTCTGTGTTTCTGCTGTGTTTTCTCAGAGATATATTCAGTCCTGCTTTTATAAATACTAGATTATTACACTGGGAAAAGTAGTTTTAAAAACTCTTGATTGATCAGTCTTCAGGTTAGCTTATGCTTTGCTCTTCTTGCTGGACTCCATTAATTGAGAGTAAGTAGAGCATCTTGAGAAAGAAAATAGTCTACAGGATCATCATGGCTTGTTGCTGAAGCCGTTTTTGCCTTGGTATTTAAAAATGACTGCCCTATGTTCTCATCCTCTTTGTTTTTTTCTTCTGAGATTAAAGTTTGAGAAGAAGTTATGGTGGTTTGTCATATTGTATTAGCTCTGCTTTTCAGAAGACTTCCAGGGGCATGGCTTTAATGGCATGACTATATCAAGTAATAATTGCTGAAAAAAAGCAATCTTGATGACAAATGATATTTGTGGTATTTCTTCATTCACGTTTCTTAGTTTTGTCTTCAAAAAAGTAAACCCTACTAAAAGGCTTCTGGGCTTTTTAAAATCAATAGACAAACTTTTTTAGTTCAGCAGAATTCCAGTGTAGACATCCCTGTGGATAAAACAGGAAGTTTATCCAAGTTTTTCTCTGTCAGATACCTTTCTTTATATTCCTTAGAAGGCTTTTTCATCTTACATGGTAACTGCTTGTTTTGATTTTTTTGCAGACTATGTGAAAAGTTATTTTCAAGGAGCAGTATATTTGAAGGAGTTCAGGTTGTCTAAATGATGTGTGTGAAAATGCAGTAATTTTTTGTGAAGTAATCAAGCTGTGTAGGTCTTCTATTGATAGGAGCAGAGCAGATTGCTGATTGGATAGTTGGCCTCTTCATAGTAATTTCTTCTAATTAAAGGTACCATTACATGAAATTAATCTTTACTTAAGCTTTACTCCAAAGTAACTTTTAGTTTCTATGGAAAGAACACGTGGTTGTATTTGTTTCAACAGAGTTCAAGAAAGGGATAAAATTTGGTATTTGATGTGTTCAAGAGTTTGGTAGCAATAGCAGTATGACATTTAATTTTCGATTATTATTATTTGCCAAACTTTTTTTTTTTCTCTTAAGTTGAAAAGTAGGAGAATTTTCCTTTGGAAAAGTAAATATGCATAAAGGGACATCTAAGAAATATTGAGTAATGTTTATTTTGCTTTCTCCTAGAAGCTGATGGACAGGTTTGACTTTGGGGAAGAATCTGAACAAAATGAAGAGCCTAAAAAGGAAACTCCCACTTCCCAACTGTAAGACCAAGCTATGTTTCTTATGGAAAATACTAAAATTTGCCTGACGCTAGTTGAACATCAAGATTAAATAAGGAAAATGTTTTTTTCAGAGCATAAGTACACTAAAACAGTAGAAAGGGGAAAGACAGTTTACTAAGTTAAACATATACATTTTATTACAAGTCTCTGTGACAGAACTTTTCATGACTTCAAAATAAAGTTAGCATGTTCTTTGCTTTGTTAGTTATAATGTGATAATGATGATAATAGAAGGTGGAACTAGTTACGTTGTCCTCATTTTTTTACATTTTAGTTAAACTTGAAACTCGTTTGTGAAGATCTGTTTATTAACTGTTTAAACCAAGAGAAAAGCAGTAATGTTACGTTTTTAAAAATTCATTAAAATTATTTCATTTTAGGCCTTTAGTACCAGAATCTGTGAACAACTCACTTTTTCACCAACTAGCTGAACAGCTACAGCAACAAAATTTAGAACATCTCAGACAACAGCTTTTGGAGCAGCAGCAGCAGCCTCAAAAGGTAAGAACTCCATCTTGTGGCTGTTGTAATAATTATTTCTCCACTGATAAAAAAAAAATCATACTTCAGGACAAAAAAATTGTCTTGTTACAGACACTTTACTTATAATGAAAGCCTTTGTCGCAAGATGACCATCTAACAGGGTCTTGTGGAATAACTGTAAAAGAGGGCTAAAAGCAGAAGAAAACCCACAACGACATGTGTGGAGTGTACAGTTTGCTTCTTTTAGGAAAACGTGCTCTTTAGCTCAGAGTGGCTGTTCAGTTCTTTATATGGGGAAAAAAAGCCTTTTCCCCTCCTGTCAGAAAGAATTAGCTGACCATTGAAGTGGTTGTGCTCTTGTGTCTGAAGGGAGGACAGAATAAAGATTGTGGATAACTTTATTTTCCTCACCAGGTTTTATATCTTGACTAGTAACTGTCTCATTGTGTCAAAGAATCTAACTCTATTCTTCAGAGTCACATATTTCCTGAGAAATTATTCATTAAAAGCTGGTTCTTGAGACAACCCAAATTTCCTTCTTAACTATGTGTCCTCTCTATTCTACGCTAAAATAACTTGGCTTATTTCTACAGTGGTTAGTCCTCAGTATTTAGCTGCTCTTTTTGCCTCCTGATCCCATTAGAAAAAAAACCAAAAGAATTCTGTCTTGAAAGTGGACTTTCTATGATGTGTTTGAATCTGGTTTCATAGTAAAATAGAAATCTTAGATTGAAAGAAAAGCCAAGTGACCACAAACTTAACAAACATATGTTGGGGTTTTTGGTTTAAGCTGTGCAGAGCTGCAGTCATAGAATCAAGGCTGGAAGAGACCTTTAAGATCATTCAAGTCCAACCATCAACCCAGCACTACCACTGTAACCCCCTGGTTCACTAAACCACATCAACCAGCACAGATTCAGATACATCTTAAACTTATCTCCAGGGATGGCAATTCCACCACCTCCCCGGGCAACCTATTCCAGTGTCTGAGCCAGTCGCTCAGCTTTCAATCAAGAATGTAATTTGAGTTTTGAATTTGTGACTTTAATAGTTTACTTTTTACCAGATATTTTCTTACTCTTCCGCTTTATATTACTGATTTGTTTTCATTTCTCATTCAAATGTGGCAAACGAGAGAATGTCCAACACAGCTACAGACTAAATAGTTTGGATGTTGGTGGATATCTAGCAATTTATCTTTAAACACTGACAAATGTTGTATAGTAAAACACTGAAGAGTTTTTTCCTCCTGTTGGAGGAGCTTTTGATGTGACATCTAGAAGTAACTGTCTAATTTGAAAATAAAAATGCCTAACACTGTGAAATAAACAAAATCAGAGTTTAAATGAATTTCATCTATGAAATTAAGTTACAATACATTTATGGTTAGAATACTTACTTGACTCACCCCTTACTATTTGATTTTCTGTTCCGAGTCCTGAAGTTTTTTCCCTTCACATCCACTCAGCTTTTTGTCTAGTTAATATGGAGAGAAATTTTTATTTTCATCTTGATAGCAGCTAAAAGATACAAACTTGTGCTGGAACTACTTTGCAATGACTGCAGCATGTTATGAGGGATATTTTCTTTAATCTATGTGCAAGTTTCATTGAGAAAGATTAAGGGAAAGAGAAGGAAAGATAAAGCATAAAACAAAATTAAGCATCTGATGAGGAGCAGAGGGAGAGGAGGACAGGATAGGAGAAGCAATAAGAAATGTAGGAGTTGATATAAAAAAACAGATTGTTGATGAATAATTAAATATAAGGAAAATGAGACAAAACATTGTGAAGAGGCAAATAAATTAATTATGGTAGAATTTTTTTTTAACAAACTCATCAGCAGTTTATAAAATATGAAGATTAAATAAAATTGTTTCAACTCATTCTGCTAACTTTGTGTCATTCTCTTGGCAGATAAAACACCTAGCATTTGTTTATTAAAAGCTAAATTATAATGAGGATCACTGAAATGTTGACCTGCAATATTGGATTATAGATTTAAAATTACTTTTCAGAATTGCCCTGATAGCATTTCTGAGTATTTTAATTTCTTTTATTCTATTTGTTGAATTTATTTTGAATCTTAGAGATGTTTATTCCAAATCTCTGCTTTCAGGCAATGTACAGGCCATTATAGTTTTTTCTCTGGCAAATCAACAATTCATTTAGTATTCTACGTGTTTAAATTTTGGTGGTTTTTCAGAACTGCTTGTTTTGTTAGGTCTCTTGTGATTGATATGTTGACATAAATGACATAACACCTTCCCTTATCTTTTAGTAAGTCCTTGTCTTAAATCATGCAGTGTAAGAAAGTTTAAACTAATGAATTTCTTTAACTATTTCAATTGGTATTGCAAATGTTTTTATTATGTTAGGATCAAAATAAAATTTATTAATGCATGTGCACGGGTGACAAGTGGATATCTTTCAGGGTCACTGTACATACAGCTACATTTGGTCTGTGAACATTTGCTTTGAAATCAGCTGAATTAAACAACAAATTGAATCATGTACTTCGTCTGTACTGCAGTTTTTTATTCAGCAAATAGATACTAATCTTTTTTATAATCAGGAATATTACTTATTTTAAAGTTTTGTATTTAAAGATGATACAAAAAAAGTAATGGAGTGGAGTGACATCTAGCTCAGCTTTCATATGAATGGGAAGTGGGAAAATAAGAAAAATTTGATAAATAGTTTTTCAGAGTAGCAGCTGTATTACAAGTAGTATTACTTATGTGTAGTATTACGTTTTGACACAGGAAGTATTTTTAAATATGAGGGGTTTTACGGTATATTATTTGTTATGTAGGCAAGCCCTGAGGAGAATCAAGAAGGAAATTTTGGTTCGGAGCACTCTGCGTCACCATCACAAGGGAGTAGTCAACAGCAGTTTTTAGAAGTGGAAACAAATGTAGATGATTCAATGGATATTCAACAACAGGTAAAACTATTTAAAATTTGATTACAGAAGTTGAAAGGGAGACACATATTAACATGATTTCAAGTCATGTATATTGTGAGTATATTTATTCTATGTTATTGAACATCTTATATGTCTGACCTCAGGACATGGATATAGATGAAGCTCAAGATATTGCTGAAGAAGAGATTTTTGAACAAGAAGAAAAAAAATCAGCTGTTCGTTCAAGATCAAGAACTCGTTCAAGATCTCGTTCAAGGTTTCATAATTAGCTTGTATTAAGTAAAGAAATGTTTTCTGAAAAAAAATGCAATTTCTGATTGTCAGTCTCAATTGCATATCTTCCAAAATGGTCATGAGCAGTTTTTGGTGATGAAAAGAATTTAATATTTGTGTGCTAGATGCAGACTTCCTATATGACAATTCATTTGCCGCATCTGTGGTTTACCTGAAATTTTTTAAGACTTGTTCAGGTAACAGAAATAACTATCGCTAGCCACCTGACCAAGTGAAATGGAACATTTTGAATGTGTTTTGTTTTGGTTTGTTTTAAGATGTATATTCTATTTTTCACCCAAATGACATTAAGTTTATCTTCTGAAGCAATTTGAGTGTCTGGAAATAAGTGAGTGAGTGGAAATGTCTGCATAGTGCTTAAAGTTTTTAGTTAAAAGACAACTAAGTTAAAATATTTTTTTTTTAACTCAGCATACTAAAATTAAGTATTTTGTAGGTCACCAAGAAAACGAAGGTCTAGATCACGGTCTGGTTCTCGTAAGCGTAAACACAGAAAACGTTCTCGATCAAGATCAAGAGAAAGGAAGAGAAAGTCATCTCGGTCATACTCCAGTGAAAGAAGGGCTAGGGAAAGGGAAAAAGAACGTCAGAAAAAGGGATTGCCTCCTATACGGTCAAAAACACTAAGTGGTAAGTGGCATCTGCTTAGTGTTTTAATAATGTAGGATTAAAGGGAAAAAAGGCTTTGTTTTCACTGAAAGAACAAGATTTATCCTAAGTATTGTCACAGAATACAGTAATCATATTCTTATTTTTAAGTTACATTTCTGATGTTTCATGCAATTTAGGTACATGATGTCATCTTAGAGGAAAGCAAGTATCAGGCTGTTCTACTGATGTTTTTACTCACACTGTTGCACCAATGATTTTACTTCTAAACAGAGTTCAGCAGGAGCTGTCCCTAATTTACAATCTGCTTTCTCTATAATGCTGTCTTTAATGGGGCATTTGAAGATGTTCAGCACTTCATCTGAGAAGTGTTACACTGATAAGATGTTAAAATCTGTGGTACACACTTTGAATACTTTTGATGGGTATCTTAGAGGCCCACGTTTTAAAACTTCTACAGTGCTTTTTCAAGTCCTTCCTATGGAATGCTGAGCCAAAGAAGCTGGAATTTACTTTTAGAAAACAGACCATAATGGTTGTATTTTAAGAAAGTGTTCAGAAATCAACTGGATTTCGGCTTCTGCAGAGTGCTGCTGTGCACTGCTGTCATTTCTACAGAGAATTTACATACTAAAGAAAAGGAAAGGTAGTAAGAAGAAAAAGAACTTATCTGCACAGTTACTTTAAGAGAATGTATTTTGAGAATTTGTTTAGATACATTATACACAGTTTCTGACGTAGTTTTGCATCTATTCTGTGTCTTAAATCTGTATTGTTTACCTGACGAGATAAGCAGCTCAAAACTCATTTTTGCAAAGGAAAGAGTGTTCTGTTCTCTTCCCATTAATATTTTACATCATTCCAAGGTGGCTTTAAACTTGGGGCTGTGCTACAGTTTAGATGCTTTTTTTTTCACTTCTCTGTTCTTGTGAAAAAAGACAAATCGGTTTTATGGTGTATATTTTTCCCAGTAGTCCACAAAGCAGGGAGCTGAGAGACAGAGATGTTAAGTAACCTGATGAAAAGTAGCAGCATTTGACGTCCTGTGAAGTGTAAAGGAGATAGTAAGAAGGCTAAGTGAAGTGTGGAAACTTTGGAGGGAGGTAAATGAAAAATAGGTAATTCACCCAACAAGCATTCTACTTAATGAAATTTTTTCAGTGACAGCCACTATCATCACTTGCTGAGATCTGAGGAATTGTTTCATAGAGCTTAACACCATGAGATACAGAAGGGCCATCCTACAAGCACATGAGGAACAAGAGAAATCTTAATACTACTCATTCTCAGTACTGCAGAGTACCGATGTCAATTGAAACTGATAGTTGACAGAGGAATGCACACCTCTGCTTTCTGGTTAGTTGCACCAACACTGGTAGAGGAAGGCTTGCTCACAGAGGTTGGTTAATATTTGGGAGACAAAGGAATTGGAATCATGTACGTGTGGGAGAAGGCAGTTTTAGCTCGCATATCAGTAAGTGTTTATGTTTGGCAATGAGGAAAGGTAAGCATTTGGAAGGCAGTTGCAAGGATCCGGGCTTGTGGTGGAATTGACATGAATCAGATGTATTGTGGACGTGTTCAGCTCAGTGGGCCTCAGCGAAGTTTTCTTTCTGGGATGTTCCCCAAGGTAAATAAATAGTGTAGTTTTTATTTCTTTCAGGTGAAAATGCAGAGCTTAATCCTGTAGTATTAAGTTCCTTCTGTAATACACTTCAAGCCAGTTAGTCTTACTTTGTTATTTGACTTTAAATCCTAGGGGCATGTTTTTTTAAAGGAAAATAGAAATATTTTTTCCCCCGGAAGCAATTTATAATGCAGGTTACCTTAGCTGATAAGCTACAGAATTTTAGTTTTTCATTTCTGTTGAAACAACTATTTCGCTTAAAAGAAAATGAAACAAGAAGAAGGAACACTTGTAGTGAGTATGTTTGGTGTTGTTTAACCCTTTTACATTTTTGTTAATGTACCTAGTCTCTATATAGCAAATAACAGATTCACTGTTCTTGTTTTTTGATCAGTGATTTCTCTGTAATTATAAAGCCTTTTGTATTCTTGCTGTACAGCATTTTGTAAGCTAACATTCTAGTATTTTGACTGATGTGAATGTGTCTCTTGACAGTTTGCAGTACTACTCTTTGGGTAGGTCAAGTAGACAAGAAGGCCACACAGCAAGATTTAACTAACTTGTTTGAAGAATTTGGACAAATAGAGTCAATTAATGTAAGTAAACACGTTGTTTCTCATTTTCAGGAATTACAGACTAGCATCTTAGGCATGCTTACGCCTCTGAATTCCTTTGAACCACTTAACGATATATTTAGGAGATCTTTTTTTAATACAGTTTAAAAACTACAGCTGTGATATTGCCTCTTGGTTTCCATCTACTCTGTTTTGAAGCACTTCAGACAGTACACTTTATGCTAAAAAGGCTTTTCCCAAACAGTTTATACATTTTTTAAACCAGGGTCATAACACAAAAGTTGTCTCGTCTCTTTTTGTGATGTGGCATGGAGCAGGTATCATTTTTCCTTGGGCTAATGGACATAAACTGATGTGTATCCACATTGTTCTTGGTTACGTTCCAAACAAAGTGTTCTTTAAACTTACTGTAAGCAAATGTTTATTCTGAAATGTGACAGTTAAAAAGATACTTATGATCAGGAGATACAAATCTCATTATTTAATTTGGATTTAGGTGTTTAGTACTTTAGTGTTGCCTATAATTCAGTTTCAAGAGAAAGTATTTTTCTCCTTAAATAACATATCTACATGAGAGAAATTTGGGGGTTTCTTCTTGCTTCAGCAATTTTAAAATGCATCTAGTGCAATTTCATTAATTTCAGATAAAATTTTTACAATTTTCCTGCCATGTTAATATATTCAAATATGTAATTAATAAGGAATGCTTTTTGTGGCATTACAGAATGTTTTAAGAAGCTTCACAAGTCAAAACAATCAACCCCATAGCCAGACATTTTGATTTGCAGGGGCTAGCAATTAAGAAAGCTAAAAGGAAAGTAATGTAACAGCCATAAATGTCCTAGTGCCTGTTATAATTCAAAGGCAAACCATTCTGTAAATAGCTCATAATAAATAGCAAAGATTACATGCCATGTCATACAATAAATTAAACATGCTAAAGGAAATCACATTTCAGAAATGAGGACTCTACCCTTAAAAACTTTTAATCACTAGTTTACACCTCTGTGAAAGGTGGTTGCTCAGCTCACAATTTAGAGCTTAAGAAGAGGTGGCAACCCCTGCTTTTCTGAAGTTGTCGTAATATAGGTCCCAGTTTTTGCCTGTTCTGTACTGTTCAAGTCTTTAAAGTCATTTTTAGCACCCATTTTTCAGCTTGCATCTGCTTCTTGAAAATGTTATAACCGAAGTACCCTGCCAGTATCACTCATAAGTTTTTCTGATCCTCAAAATTCTTAATGTTGCTGATTAAGGTAACAGCTGTTTACAGTGTAAGCCTTTCTTTTTATAGTATTAGTATTCACTTACTGTACTTGCCTAATCCAGAGTATTGATTTTCCCACTTTAAAACCACTGCTGTTTTTCCATAGATGATCCCCCCAAGAGGTTGTGCTTACGTCTGTATGGTACATAGACAAGATGCGTATCGTGCTCTTCAGAAACTTAGTTCTGGGTCTTATAAAATTGGATCTAAAATTATTAAGGTAAGTTGATTTTAATCAAAGGATGCTGTCCATTTCAAGTACAGTACAGTTTTAATATGATGATTTGTCATTCAGCAGCTGTTCATTCAAATGTAGAATATGGAGAAAAAAGAAGCAGTAAGGTGTAAATTGCTTTCTTTCTGTGTAAAAATGTAGCTTTTAACAGGTGATATGAAAGATAGTAAAATGACATTTAGGAAATAGTTAGAAAATATTTTATGTACGTCCAGCCTAAGTCCTGTACCTGAACATGTGGATCACTTAATATTAAATTTTAGAGTATTCTTAGAGTTAAGTGTATTAATAAATGCCGTGGGGGTTTTTTCTACCTTCTTTGATGGTTTAGGGCAAGTCCTTGAAATACTGTATTTTTCATTGCCCCACATATATGTTAGAATTAATGTAGAAAAATTTAAGCTTTTTGATGTAATTAAGCTTCCACATACCTGTTGCAGAGGCCAAGTTAACTTCCTACAGGTTCATTTAAAATCAAAACTTTGTTAAAACTTTAATAAATAGACATTGAAGATTGATCTGCAGTGACAGAAATTGAAGGAGATAATCTGAAATATTCAATTCCCAGGTTATATGATTTAACCACATTGTCTGGTTTGGGTTTATTTTCAGATTGCCTGGGCTTTGAATAAAGGTGTGAAGACAGAATACAAGCAATTCTGGGATGTGGATCTGGGAGTTTCCTATATTCCATGGGAGAAAGTAAAATTGGATGATTTAGAGGGCTTTGCTGAAGGTGGCATGATTGACCAGGAAACAGTAAATACTGGTACAGACATTCTGACAATTCTGATAGCTAGAAAATGTGTTTATTTTTGTAATTGCAAATCCTCAGAAAATTTATTATTTAGGAAATACATACTTTTTCCTAATTTCTATAAATTTTTCTAGCTATTTGTTTAAAATATAAATTACACTGTAATAATGAAATCTAGATTGTCTTTTTAGATTAGTAATTAGTTGATTGTCATGACAATAAGGAATTGGTGACAAAGGGGAATTAATTTAGGCAAGTTAATAAAGGTTAGCATTTTTTGAGAGTTACAAATTTGTTGTGCACTCATTTCCAAGTATGTAAAATACTAATTTGTGTAGAAATTGTGATCTGCTTTTGCTTCTGAAGAATCTTATGTATTCAGGTATAAGACTGAAGTAGGAGTTAGAGCTTGTCCAGATAGGCACAGCTTAGCAGAACCTTATGGTATTTCTTTAATAAAGTCGGAGAGACAGGAAAACAAGTAAAGTTAGACCTTATTCTGAAACCAGTTAAGAGGTTTGTTAGGTTTGTGAATGATTTACCTGTACTGTATTTTCTTGAAACAGATCTAGCACCAAATGATGGGACTATAGTGAAGTAAGCACTAGATTAAGACCGTTTTATAGTAGCAACAGTAATTCTTCAGTCTTGCTTTGAGTAAAAATTGAGTGTAAATGACAGAAAAATTAAAACACGGAACATTACTGAAATACATTCACTGTGTTACACTTCAAATACTAAACTTTTTGAGGAAGCAGCAGAAGGAAGGAATAGGTGTTGGTGTGAGGTTTGTTTTACATGAGGATTCTTTCTTACTGTAAAGTAGCCAGCTGATAGCACAGATACACTGGCAACAGCAGTTTCAGAAAACTGGAGCATACTCTATATTGCAAATTAGGAACAGAATGATTGGCCAAAAAAACTTGGCAAGTTTTGAAAAATCAGTTTGTATACAGGCATAATCAAACAGCATTGCAGATAGTTAAAGATACTTTTTGTTGTTTAAAATATATAATAATAAATAATTGCACTTGGCTCTTTTCATGATAAGTTTGAGGCTTATTTGTAGTGAATCTATGTACGTGTCAGATTAAAATTTATTGTTTAAGAAAGAAGAGGATTTTTTTTTAGTATTTGAACAAAAATAACACATGAACTATCTTTTTATATTAAAATGCATCCTTTTTTAAAGAGTGGGAAACAGCCAGAAGCTCAGAAGCTGCTAAAGAAAATACACAAACTACTCAGAGTGCTGCAGTTGATAAGAGTACCGTTATTACAACACAGACAGAAGCTTACACACAACCAGTCACTATGCTGCAGGTTAGTATTGGTCTGAGGCTGCAAAAGGCCCACAAAACTGGAAGGCTAACCTTTTATTCAATTCTGCTAAACTTGAAGCTGAGTAAAATGTTTAAATGTTTTAGATTTAAGTGCTGCATCCATTATCTCTGAAACATTTTAGAGTAGAATTGGTTGCCATGGTTGAGCGTAATCTTTAGTTTCCTGCAGTTGCTTATTACAGAAGGTTTGTATTTCTGTTATTTCTGTTTCATCTCTCCTAACGTGTATAGACATTTTCAGTGCTTGAACTAACATAAAATTATTTGAATATTAGTATATTTGCATGTACTTGTATTGAATTTTGAGTTCTTTTCTCTTCACAAAAATTGTCTTCTTATTTCAACTGTCTCCTGACATACACTATGATCTGTGTTTATTTAAATATGAGTATATGTATTGCATTTATTTTGCTGCTTATTACTTGTAAATATGCTGCACTACAACAGAACACATAGCTGAAATAGATGTTTGAGAAATATTAAGTAATTTTCACAATTTTATCAGGATTATTAGCCTTATAATTACATACACTAAACTCAAATTTCCAGTACTGTTCTAAAATAAGTAAATTTTTCTAATGAGAGTAGAATCACTGTTTTCTAAGTGCTCTCAAATTGCCACACCATCTGCATTTTCCTTCCTTTTCTCTCTCTGCATTTCTACATTCACCCCGCTCCCATAAGTAAATTAGTAAATTTTTATACTTGAAGAGGTACAGTGTTTGACTGTGTATTTTTCTGGGCATCTGAGAATAAAGATAATATAAGATTCTTCCAGTGTTCTTGTTTGCCTGTAGTACCATTTCAGAATGCAGCCTAATTCTTTGGTTTGGGTGTTTGGAATATATACAAAGTCTTTGATATGTTTAATGCTTAAACTGATTCATCTGCAATTCACATTATCCCTTTTTTAGTGCCGTTAAATACTGATAAGTATTGAAGCTGCTTGTTTTTTCTTTCCATGAAAAAAGATTCCTGTAGCTCCAGCTGTGCCTGCTGTTAGCTTGGTTCCACCTGCATTTCCTGTCACAATGTCTGTCCCTCCTCCTGGTTATAGCCCAATTCCTCCTCCACCCTTCTTGAGAGCAAGTTTCAACCCTTCACAGCCACCTCCAGGTAAGGTAGTGAAAATGAAATTGAGTATGTAAAGAGCATATGCAGTTTGTGTGCCTCTGTATACATTGTAGTTTTCTGTCAGCTACTGGTTGCTGTTTGAGTTGACCTTTGAATCTTAAATTTCACATAGATTGAAATTACTTACATCTATCTTGGTGTTATTTTTACCAGTGTATTCTCTCGAGAATAGGAATCACGGTAGAATTTTTTTTAACTTTGCTAAAAATTTAAATTTAAAAGTACTTAAAATCAGTCTCCTTGGTTTTTAAAATTTTGAAACTCTTAATATTCTTCTTTGGATATTATTGGCAGAAATCACTTTTAAAGATGCACATGTAGATCATCTGTAGGGAAGATAGAGTTGATTTTGAATACGATAACCACAGTTACCTCTTCCCATTAATTTGTTTGCTAGTGGTGCAACTTTTCAGTATAAATAATGTTGGAGGTCTTTAACTGCATAAGTCTATTTGATTTCCATGTAATTATTTGTTATTTTTTTCCACGTAGGTTATATGCCTCCCCCAGTTCCACCTGTGGTTCCGCCACCTGTTGTCCCGCCACCTGTTGTCCCACCAGTTGTTCCAACACGTAGGTTTGATTCTTCTAATATTTCGTGCATCATGAAAAGTTTATTTGTTTGATATACTCATAGTTTTTTAATCAAAAGCAGGGTGTTCCTGTGTATTGGAAAATAGCAACACAGAAGTTATTGTTTAGCTGGTTTAAGCAGGCATTGAGAAAAAGATTTACAGAGTTTATAAAGTTGACTGAAAAGTTATATTTAACATGGAGTTACTGAAACAGTTATGGCCAATTGTTTATTATTTATATGCGTAGTTCAGTATTTGAACGTCTCTAACAAATGTATCTGTCACTGGAGCTATTTGGTGTAGTCATTGAATAATCTATAATACTTAGCTCTCTGAATGTATTCATTTAACATTTAAAAATATGTTACAGTACTGATTGCTTAGGTTGCCTGCAGCTTATGATCTCTACAAAAAACTCCTAAATGTGGTTGAGATTAGGAAATTATTAACAAAAAATGTAACACTAAGGGTAATAAATTTCACTACTTTGATTTATCAGCCTGACCTCTTCCAAATTAATCTTAAAGGCTTGAATATATGATCACTGATACACTTCTGTTATTTCTCTACAGCTTTAGTACAACCTCCATTACCAATTGCGCAAGAGACAATGAAGGATGTTCCTTTTACTAGCCTTGTTCTGCCAGTTGGCACAGTTACTGGCAATCTAGCTACTCCAACACTATCAGCTGGAAGTGTTTTTAATCCTCTGCCAATCAACAAACCAGAACCAGATGAGAAAGGATCACACCTTACGGACCTTCAGATTTCTTCCAGTGAAAACAATAGATCTGGTAAGAAATATCTTTATTGTCTGATACAATTACATACAGGATGCATCGTACTTTTGAGACTTTTTGCAAATCTTAGTCCACTGCAATAATAACTAAGAATAGGAAGCTTTGGGCTGGGTATGGTATAATTCTGAATTTAATTTGGAGTAGCGATGGGAAACATTTTTGTCGTCATTAATTTCTAGCAGTTTATGCTCAGGAATGTTTTTCTTCATTAATCTCGAGAAGGAAAGTTGAGACTGGGAACCATTAGACAGCTTCTTAAAAGTGCATTTTTATTACACAAATGGCAATGGAAAGGAGCAGGAGAGGGTAGGATAGTATAATATTGATAGATTTATGTCAAATACTTTCATTGTATGTATTGGGTGATAGTCATGGGGGTTTTCAGTTTTAAGCTGCTGTACATACTTTATTGTGTAGAGACATTAATTTCTGTGGCATAATGTCTGTGTATCGCTAGACATTGTATTGACATTGTGATTACAATAATATGGTTGTTATAGAAACTGAGACAGACCTTGTCAGCAGTATCATCACTGCATGCATTTACTGAGCATGGATTCAGCTGCACTTTGTTTTGAATGCTCTGTGTTACACTGCTGTTTTCTGTTAACTGTTCCTTCTTGTTGCTGCATTTTAGTGCAAAGTGATGTCTCGAGTAGCTCTGGACTTGTTGGAGGAGTGCAGCCACCCAGTGTCTCAAGCAATTCTGGGCTTACTGGCGAAGGGCAACCACCCACTGTCTCAAGTAGCTCTGGACTTGCAGGGGGAGTACAGCCACCGAGTGTTTCGAACAGTTCTGGACTTGTAGGAGGAGTGCAACCACCGACTGTTTCTAGCAGTTCCGGTCTTGCAGGAGGAGTGCAACTACCTGCTGTCTCCAGCAGTGCTTCTCTTACTGGCGGGGTTCAACCAACTAACGTCTCAAGTAGCTCTGGACTTATGGCTGGAGTGCCACCACCAAATGTCTCAAGTAGCTCAGGGCTTCTAGCTGGAGTGCATCCACCCAGTGTCTCAAGCAGCCCTGGCCTTCTAACAGGAATGCAGCCACCCAGTGTCTCAAGCAGCTCAGGAGTTCTGGCAGGAGTACAGCCACCAAGTGTTTCAAGCAACTCTGGGCTTCTCATAATGCCACCACCCAATGTTTCAAGTAGTTCTGGACTTATGGGAGTGCCACCACCAAATATGTCAAGTAGTTCTGGACTTCTGGCAATGCAGCATCCAGCTGCAGTGCAAAACATGCCTCATTTAAATATTAGTAGTCAAAGGATGCCAGGAATGCCTCTTATAGATATCCGTCCAGGCCTAATGCCCCATTCTCCTGGACCAAGGTTTCCATTAATGCAACCGGGAATGCCACCACAGCGTACTATTCCTCCTCCTGCAATCCTTGATCCATCTCTTCACCCACCACCTCGAGGTCCTTTTCCTCCCGGAGATATTTTTAATCAAACCGAAAGACCTTTTGGAACACCAGGAAGACAAAATATCGATAACATTTCTAATGCAGAGAAAAGACTACCGCTTGGAGGCGATAACATCCAACAGGAGGGAGACAGAGATTATCGCTTTCCTCCTGTAGAAAACCGAGATACTCTTAACAGACCGTCTCCAGTGGATGTCAGAGATCCTGTTGGACGACCACCAGTTGATCCAAGAGAGGGTATAGGAAGGCCTCCAGTAGATGGAAGAGAACACTTTCCAAGACCCCATATAGACATGAGAGAAAATTTTGGAAGACCAGGTATGGATAACCTTGGTCGAAGAGAGCATTTTGGTTTCAATTCAGACAAGCACTGGGGACAGAGAGGAGATTATGATGAAAGAGAGCACCACGCCTTCCCTATTTATGGTGGTCCTAAAGGCTTCCATGAAGACAGAGAGAGGTTTCGGCATGTAAACTATAGGTTTGATAGTAGAAGTGGTCCCAGTTGGAATAGAGGATTTGAACAAGATGCTCACAGAGATTTTGATGACCGCAGAAGACCCTGGGAAAGACAGAGGGATAGGGATGACAGAGATTTTAATTTTTGCAGAGAAATTAATGGGAACAGGTTTGGAAGAGACAGAATGTCAAACAACTGGATCCCTCCTCCACATCCACGGGTTTTTGAATATTTTGATGGGGCCACTTCTCAACGCAAAGCTGATAATATGCCCCAGGTAAATGGTGAAAATACAGAGACAGAAAGTCAGCCACCAACTGCACAGGTGCAGGATGATCCAGAACTTTATGAAAAACTGACATCTTCCGTCGAAATAAACAAAGAGAAGAGTGACACAGAAGCTGATATAGAGAGTGAACCAGTGGTAGAAAGCACAGAAACTGAGGGGACATAATCATCACTCAGTAGGTAAAAGATACCTTTTGTAAAGTTGTCATCTCTCTGTAATAGATAAATGGCTGACTGGACCGTAGCAGTTCACTTTTGTCTGCCAGAATTAAGTTAATCGATGTTCATGTTCATCTTTCACTTAAATAACTGTACAACTGACTTGTATAGAACACTGTTCTTAATTTGAACATGGTAGGTAAACGCTTTTTTTGGGGTTGTTTTTGTTTGTTTGTTTGTTTTTTTTTTAATTTTATTTTATTTCTCTGGTAAAGCATAAACTTGCCCCCACTTGCTTTTAATTTCACAAAGGTAATTAACAGCTTGTCAAACAAAGACTTCCTATGGAAGAAAATGGAATTTTTAGATACTACCCTTAGGCTGGCTGTCGAAATTGTTATACTTGAAAACAGGTGCTGGTGTATCTTGTCTGTGTTTTTAGGCTGCTGCAGAATTTTAAAGTATAGACAAAGCTGTGATATTTTATGTTCCTACAATTCGGCAGAAAAAGAAATGGCCCATGTTATTTAAGGAGCATATCACAGAGATTAAAAGTGATTTTGTAAAATCTACACTATAGTCTCTGTTTTCTCTAAAGTAAGTGTTTGTGATTTGTTCCTCGTACTGCAGTGGGTTTAAAAAAATGAAAAAGTACATTTTAATGTTGGGTGCATTTTGTTTTTAGATGCCAATAAAGCATATTTGTTTGATAACAGTGTTCTAGGTATTGTATTTTTTTAAAAATCTGCAAGCTCTAAAAACTTGGAATCAGCTATGATATGTGCTTAGCTAGTTGTTGCAAAAGGTTTATATTACTTTTGTAAAACCGATGCAACAGTTATATGTGCAAGAAGGATACGGTTTTTACATCAAAAATCATGCAGTCATATTAGTTTATGTGAATAACATGTATGTAAATATCTGTGTAAACTGTTTGTAGATACCACTTTTTCTGTGCGTGCCTGTGTATGTGCAAGCACTCACAGAATGTTGCAGGCAATTCAATAAAATTGAAATAAAACTAGATTGTGAAAATTTGCCTTTCACCTTCTTTAGGTAGTAAGATAAAACTTATCTCACTGCAGTAATGTCAAGCTTGTATTTATCTACTCATGCTCATTGTTACAATAATCTTACTACTTCTGGAAGGTGGAACATTATATACTGTAAGAATATACAGTAGGATTTTAGCTTGCTTTTTAAAATGCAGATATGCATGAAGCCAAAACTTAAGCAAATATTTGCATTGTCTTATTTTGTAATGTATTTGGTGTTCTGGATAGATAGTGGTAGTGTTCGAGTACTTTGTGGTTATTTGTTTTTAGTGACTTAAAGTCCAGAAATGTTGCACAAAAAGTAAAAAGCTCTTGTTGGTCTAAAAACCTGACATGTTTCTAATAGAAATAAGGAGGGCTTTGTGTTTTGATGAAATAACATTGAAGTTGAACCTCTTTTTAAATTGCTGAGATGAATTGGTTCCTTAGGTAAATTAGTAGCACTATTCTCTCCTGTTTCACCTACTTTGCTGCTTGTGTATCCTTTTTCAATTGGTGATGAAAGATTTGACTGTAGGATGATGTCAGATTTTCAATTTATTTCATTCAAGTGCATTTCACCAACTTCTTTCAACATAACTTTTGTTAAAATTCTGTGTCTGAAAGCATCCTTTCGCTCAGTTTTAAGAAAGTTGTTTTTCTCTTGCATAAAAAGGTCCAGGGGTAGATTCTGTTACATAAATGCCCCTTTGGTAGTAGAAACATTTTTAGCTGAGATTTGAATTTTGATCTTTAACATTAAAGCATTAACATGCAAGTTTTAATTCCCCATCTGCTTCCCTCAAAGGGGTGAAAGTATGAAAACACCATTTGAGTGTAAAGCATTAGCATGCCTTTGAACCTAGAAGCAAGTTACACATGTGCATGTTGTCCTCTTCCTCTGGGAGGTGGGGTATTTTTCATGCTGTGCCATGATTCAGTTTTCAATTACAGGGACTTTTATTCAGCCAGCTTAATGAAGGTAGCCCTTTAAAAGAGTGGACTTGAATGAATTATTATCTATTGTGCAAGTAGTAGTCATTAGGTATGCATTAAATAACAGTTGCTTTGTAATGAACCTTGCTGATGTGTTTATTACCAGAACGTGTCTCGGGAGTTGAGATGAACAATGTTTAAGGTAAATGTACCTTCATGGGCAGACTCTGGCTCCAAGACCTTGAGCGATGTTGCTGCACTACCTGCTAGTACTATTCTGGTCAGGCAGATATGATTGTGTCAAAGTTCAAAAGCTTAAAATAGCTCTAAGGATATTTTAGGAACTTAAGGGATTTTTACTTCATTTTAATATGTGCAGTTTGAAGAGGCTTCAGTCATAGACCACATAGGTAAATACTCAAAATCAAACACATATTGGCAGTAGCTTTACTTTTTAAATATTTTGGTAAATGCCTCTGTAAAACTAAAAGTTAATCTCTTGTTCTTTTTCTAAACTGGGACTGGCAGTATGCCAAGTTGTTCATAGTATGATTCAGGTAAATTACTAAGTGAGAGATGTTAAACAATTTGGTTGGTAGTGGTGTAGAACAATGTATTTAATGAATCTATGATCTTTGTTAATATCTTTCAAACATCAATAAATTGGCTACTGTACATATGTGTTACACCATCAATTTTTAAGAACATTTTTTTTGTAGAATAAAAGTTTGTTGTACAATCTTCAGTTGCATCATGTTCACAGCTAGAACTGTTCTATTCTTATTTTATTAATGTAGCATACAGACAAATATTACCAAAACCAGCCATATTTACAGACTCAGAAGGGACTTAATATTAGCAAAACAGTATGGTCTCTTTATCTTAGCAGTAGGAAGTTTTAAATCTGTCGGAGCTGGAGGAAAGACTTTCCTTTTTCTCTGTGGATTTAAGCTGTCATAAGCCAACACATGCACTGAAAGGAACTGTCATGAGATCCAGACCAGTTCTTTGATGTCGTTCATGAGAGTGACATGTAATTTCTGCTGATGCAAAGGAAAGAGTAAAAGTGGGACAGAAGAAAGATGGGAGCAAGGCATTTGGGCAGCAGTTCTGGCTTATACCTGTTAAAAGCTTCCTTGTAGTGATGGAAGGTTTCTTATTCTAGCAAATAAAGAATTTCATTTACGATTCATATAAGTGACATACATAATTAAAAATATTTCAGGTAACTTTGCAGGCAGCTCAGTGTATTATTTAGGATTGCATGTTTTCTTAAAAACCTTATGCATCAGTAAGTTATTTGATGTATTTACCATTTTAAACAGACTGTAATCCTGATCTTTCATTGTACTGCATTTGAGTAGAATGCTACATCTGTAAAGATGAAACTTAGCCTTCATTTGCTAAAAGGATATGACTTCTTTGCTGAAGCCTTTTTCTGTGAAATATTGGTACACTTTCTTTTTTATATGTAGTGCTTCCTTTTATTACAGACTCAAGGGAATAGATTCTGTTATATTCCTTTGCTTCAGCAGAGCACTCTACCATACTTACAGCCAGTTTAGTGATTTATTCTTAGCCTGAATAGGTCAAGATAGGAGGACTGTAATCAAGCCTGGAGTGTAGCATGCACAGACATTACTTAAGCACAGTTGGAAAATTATCAAATAAACCATCAATAGAAGGTATTTATGAGATAAGAAAATTTACTGCTGGAGTCTCTCAAAATATGGTTTCAGCGGTTTTGAACATGTGCAAGGATGTGTTGGTCAACGCTGAAAGTACTCACTTTCTTGGCTCATTTTCTCTGAACTCAAATCTTTTGGCAATTTGATTTAAAACTGATAGAAATGGTTCCTAGATAGAAATGGTTCCTAAATTTCATTCTCTTTTTATGTGTTTGAAAATAATATGATGATAATAATACTAAGGGTGACTTTTTTGTCACTTAATAGTGGGAGCTGAACAGACAGAGTCATGGAATGGTTTGAGTTGGCAGGGACCTTAAAGATCATCCAGTTTCAACCCCCCTGCCATCTTCCACTAGACCGGGTTGTTCAAAACCCCATCCAACCTGGCCTTGAACACTTCTAGTGATGGGGCATCCACAGCTTCTTTGAGCAGACTGTTTCAGGGCTTCACCACCCTCACAGTGAAGAATTTCTTCCTGCTCTCTAATCTCAACCTGCTCTCTTTCAGTTTAAAACCATTGCCCCTTGTCCTGTCACTACATGTCCTTGTAAAATGTCACACTCTAACTTCATAATATTAAAATCTATTCAGAGTATCAGGAGTCATCAAGAGTAACTATGTTAATTTTTTCCTGACAATGACAAAAGCATCTTCCCATCATTTTGCTTTACTAGTAATTTTGCATCAGCAGAAACTTTGCAGTGGCGAAGAGACTGTTGTATTGCAAGACTTTCTTAATTGTAACTAGTCCTACATTTTTCCTTGAAGAGTTTTCTTAGTGATCCTGTTTGCACCACTTAGTCCATACAAGTTCTTTGAATATGCAATAAACATAATTTTATTAATGTATGTACATGATACTTCATAGTCAAGAAGAGCTACTGAAAGCAAAATGTATGACATCTCCTTAATAACTTCCATGTAGGATATGAAAAGTGATTCTTGTCAGTGATGAAAATCTGTTAATAGAGTTTTTGTTGATGTTGGTAAGCTGTAAAATTGTATTTGCCATCATTTTTGTAGTCCTTTCTGTGTTGCACCAACTCTATGAGAAAGGGTAGTCTCTCTGAATGTTGTGCTCTTAGTATCTTTTAGATGTTCTGCTACCAAAGACTAGAGGGAGGATGGGGCTATTGGTCCGAGCACTCTTAAAAATCAAGAGATTTTTATGTTGTGCAGTTGAAGATGAATGTGTCTGGTCTCCTGAAGAGTTTAAAATGCACATTTCAGCACTTGCATAGTAACAGTGATAGTAGTGGTGTCACTGGTTTGCTAATCTTAGTCTGTACTTTGTCATTTTTCTTTTGAAATTAACTTATTAGTGCTAATTTTAAATTTTCTTATCGAATAAAATCATACTAATACCCTTAGGCAAGGAACTTTGCAAAAAAACCAATCTGGTCAGAGAGTATTTTAACTTGTAAACAGGTTAGTTGAGATTTTTTTCCCGCCTGATTTAATGCTTTAATGCTGCAATTTACCTCTTGAAAGATATTCTGTGTACGTATTGTGTGTCGTAATGGATTTGTGTTCACATTAGCATGTACCCAACTTCCTGTTGAAATGCTTGGAAATGGTGAGATTCTTTCAAGTAGATGAGTCGACGTGTTTCTAAAACTAGGGTGAACTTCACAGCCATATTGATTTGTGTACTAGAACATTATAATTGTGCTGAAGCATTATAATTGTCTGCAAGCCAGTGCAAAATATCCTTAATAGGTGAAGAGTATTAAATGGATGTAGAATTGCTAACTCAGATGTAGATTGGTAGGATTCACAATAAGCCATAGTTGTAGGGACCTTGGATCTGAATGTCACTTCCACACTAAAGGAGAGATCATATTATAAATAATTCCTAAAAACAGTAGGAATTAAGTAGAAATATTCTCAGTGTGTGAAGTTTTTTCTAAAAATGCATCCACCTTTGTGTAATTAAAGGAAGCTCTCTCATTGTCACTTCAGTTGATCAAGGAAAAAATACTTCAGATTTATACTGTTCTGAGGTAATCACGTCTCATTCAGCAATGCAGTGAAATGCAGTTTTAAATGTG